AACTTGTTGAGATTGTTCATTATCTGTAATTTTAGAGTCACATTATCACACCAGACATGGCAGAAAGACATTTCTGATTTTAATTCTGGTTGTGTTCACCACATCGTGATGTATACTGAAAATCAGCTCAAGAGTATTTTAGTCCCCTGTGACTGTGAGCCCTCATGTGAACAGGAGCTATTTGTGCTTCTCTCCCTGCGGAAGATTTATTTTGTTGTGACAGAGCTAGAAATGTCCATCAGTTCATGTTCATGCCCGGGGCCTTAAGATCATGATGTGCCGTCGTTATGGGTTAATGTCTTCCAACCAGCTGGAGCTGCTGCAGTGACTTCTCATATATATATATATATATATATATGAGGCATGTTTTGTGTTTCATCACGTTAGTGTTTGTATTCATAATCTCTTGTGTTATACAGGGGAGGAGCCCACGTTGCTCTGAAAATTATCAAGAATGTGGAGAAATACAAGGAAGCAGCTCGCTTGGAGATCAATGTACTGGAGAAGATCAATGAAAAGGATCCCGATAACAAATTGTGAGTTCTGACTCAGTCATGCGGCACTGTGGTTAAACCTGTATTACTTAGTGTCTTGTGTTCACTCCGAGGTTTAAGCTGGTTTACGTGATTGAAGTGAATTTGTCAGCTCACTCCCTGAACCTCCCTGCTTTGTCTGTCTTGCAGTTTATGTGTACAGATGTATGACTGGTTTGACTACCACGGTCACATGTGCATCTCCTTTGAGCTGCTAGCTCTGAGCACCTTTGACTTTCTGAAGGAAAACAACTACCTGCCCTACTCAATTGGTCAGGTCAGACACATGGCCTACCAAATCTGTCTTGCTGTGAAATGTAAGTCGTATCTTTACGGTCTGTGAAATTTACAGATAAATTGGATGGGAATTAGGAATACTGTGAAAAGGGAAGACATTGGTTCTTATAACTTGAGCTGTAATTTAGCTTTTGACTTGATGATTATACTTGTTCAAATCATCTGGTGTTGTGGTAGACATTTACCACAGGAGGGCATCATAGCAAAAAGGGTGTTGGCCCCACTGACTTATCAAGTTTCTCTTTAGTAAATAAAAGCTATATATCCTCACCAAGCCCTTTAACTTGTTTACTGTTGTTAATGTTCTCATGTTGGTTTTACTGAGATATTCTAGTAGTGCTTTTCTGATGCTTTTCTATTAGTATTATGATTATTAGTATTATATGTTGTAATAAATGGTGAGTAGACAGTTTGTATAAAGTGATGTAAGGTAACTGACAATTTTGAATAACTTAATCAGTGAAGGTTTCTTTTTACCTCCGTAGTTCTCCACGACAATAAGCTGACACATACAGACCTCAAGCCTGAGAACATCCTGTTTGTCAACTCAGACTTCACCATGTCCTACAACGTAGAGAAGGTAAGAGTCAAGGAAAACAGTTTAAAAAACAAAACAAAAACCCGACAATCATATTTCTTTATAGGCAGGTTGGTTCCAGAACTCAAGGGCTACTTTTTGTTCATTTTACATATGAAGGAAAAAAAAAAGTTCTTTATAAAAATTTATCACCTTTCTTGTAGGTGGAGGAAAGTTTTCCTGTTACTTATTGCTGGCAGTTATGATAAATAGATATGAAAACACGTGTTGCTATATTTTAAGGGGAAAAAAGCTAAGCTTCTCTACTGCAGATTTACTCCTGAGAGAAAGCTGGGCATTTCTGAAAAACATGTGTGTCATCTTCCAGAAACGAGAGGAGCGGACTGTTAAGAGCACGGCAGTACGCGTGGTGGACTTTGGCAGTGCCACATTTGACCACGAGCACCACAGCACCATTGTGTCCACGCGGCATTACCGTGCCCCTGAGGTCATATTAGGTGAGAACTGCTATAGAAGTAGATGGCTTTGTGATTATATCCACAAATCTTTGGCCCAGTCACATGAGCAACTGTGGCTTTTTCAGTTGACACGATATGCTTTACTTGGAAGACCAAAAGTTTACTTTGAAGTTATTTTAAAAAGCAAACAAACAAACAAAAAGAAACGGGTTCAAACAGGCACGGCTCAGCTCCTGCCCCGATTGCTCTGTTAGGAAAAACAAATGGGATTTATGATATGTGATATTCAAGTATGTGAAATGTTCGCTTTTACACAAGTGTATCATCAGTGGTACAATAAGCATCTACTGAAAGCAGTTTATGCTGAGATAAATTGGGGCTGGTTGATGTAAGGAGTGCAAAATGACTCACATCAGAAACAAATTGGATCATTTGAATGTTTTTTGTGTGACTTCAGCAAGCATGCGAATCCTTTCCAGCGTGCATGTTGCTTTAACCTCAACGATGTACTGATAAGTAATTGATGATAAAAGATCAACTGACTGTAACATAATGTTGTTCAAAAACACTTTCCCGGACATTATAAGTGGGAGATAGAAACAGAGATTGTGCTGATATATCATTTCTGGTCTGTTAATGACCAAATGACCAAAAACACACTTTGGTGACGGTGGAAAAGAAAAACTTTTGGAGGAAAAGAAACCCTTTAAACAGGAAGAAATCTCTGGCACAACCAGGCTTGATACTCAATATTCACAGTTACCTGGTCCAGCCCCAAGTTATATGCTTTGTCAAAACGGAAAGTTTTAAGCCTAAACTTAAAAGTAGAGAGTGTGTCAGTCTTTCCTGATAAATTCATTCCCAGTCTTCACTGCAACACTGAGTGAATCTGGCCAGAAATGTATGTAAATTAAAACGTGGCTGGTTGTGGGAAGCTTACAACCACAAGGTGGTAATCCTGTCCTCTTGTAATCCTCTGGTGGTTTAGTGTACTTATACTTTTGTGTTTCAGAGCTGGGCTGGAGTCATCCCTGCGATGTGTGGAGTATTGGCTGTATCCTGTTTGAGTACTACTTGGGCTTCACTTTGTTTCAGGTACACGGCAGCACACAGATTGTTTCAGCAGAATACGCCTTTTATTTACTTTTTGTAAACTGATTTATTTGCTGAAATCTCAACTATTAGTTAAAGCTCTAATGTAAATGGGTCCTTGTAAATGCAAGTGTACAATTATTCAGTGCTGGTAAGAATGAGCCCTTGCCACTGGTGAGCTCTCTAAAACCGAAGACACCATATGCAGCAGCAGAACCTGAAGTAGTTAAATCCTGTTTATCTACTGAATCACTCTCTTCCTTTCTGTGTGAGTCTTTCCCCCTCTCATTCTTGCTTATCTTATATTTTTTGCAGACTCATGACAACAGGGAACATTTGGCTATGATGGAAAGAATCCTGGGACCAGTGCCCTCCAGGATGATTCGTAAGACTCGGTAAGAGAACATAAAAACACAAGTAAAGGATTAAAAATGTGCCTGATGCAAACATATTTTTAAAGCAACATTTTAAACTGATCTTACTCTCTCAGGAAGCAGAAATACTTCTATCGTGGTCGTCTTGATTGGGATGAGAGCTCCTCAGCGGGAAAATATGTTAGAGAAAACTGCAAACCATTACGGGTAAGTGGAGTGAGTGGGAAGGGCATGAATTTGATGATTAGCGGGGATGAAAAGTTCCCTGTATGGTGCAACAGATGTTTGTTGTATTTTGTGTTGGAGTTTTTTTTTATTGCCACTAATTTCCACTTTTTTTTCTTTTCCTTCTTCTTTCAGCGATATCTGCTGTCCGAGGCGGAAGAGCACCACCAGCTGTTTGACCTCATCGAAAGCATGTTGGAGTATGAGCCCTCCAAGAGGCTTGCACTGGCTGACTCTCTAAAACACCCTTTCTTTGAGAACTTAGGGATCAGTGAGGCTGCAGGCACCAAGAGCTGGGAGGGCAACCGGGACATCAGCCGGTGACCCACAACCCTCCAAAGACTGAATGATGAAGGGTTTACAGTCCTTTCTGTGTGGAGCAGTGGGAACTGTTGAATAAATTGGGGCCTCATCTGTCATTAAAGCATGGACACCTTAACTTCTCGCTCCTCTGGCGTCCATCTCTGTAGCCACAAGAGGCATGTTTTTGCAGCAGAGACTAAAAATAAGCCACAGAAGATGTGGGGGAAAGAGTGAAGTCTTTTCTAGTTCTCACCTCGGCAGAGGCAAAAAAAAATCTTTAAATGGAAGATTGTTTGTATCCAAAGTAGCCCACTATGCAGCTCCTGTCTTCCTTTAGACTTCTGAACCACCTTCCACCCTTTCTGTTTACCTGTTATTTTAACCAGCATGTAAAGAAAATAAGGAAATGCTACCAGAGTCTGTCATCAAAAAAAAGAATCAGCTTTGGAGATGAAAAAGTCTTCCGATTCTGAAGTGAATGGAAAGGGTAAAAAAGGAGACATGGAGAAGAGATTCTGTTATACAAACATCTGATCATTCAAATTGGAAAGTATTGCAAACATCTGTGGCAGAGGCAAGTGTCTCAACTTCTTGTTTACGTTGTTAATTAAAGACCTGCACATAGACTTCTTGTTTTATAAAAGAAATGTCCCCTATATGGAGAATCTGCCATAAATTAGTGGGTTTATTACTATTCACCAGTAATGTGAGAAGATAATAATGACGGGACACTCCGCTTACATGGGCCTTTGCTGCCTCTCTTATATGATAAATATGTTGTCATGCAATGATTTCTGGGTGTGAGAGTGTGTGTCTGTTGGATGGAGTGGGTGACGCGTTTATGTTTTGCTCAGTGGTTTACGTAAGCATTAGTTGTGGGAACATTCCCACTCATTCAAACTCCAATAACTGCCTTTTCCATGTTTGACATTTTCAGACCTGACGTCTCTCTATCGAGGTTAAGCACACAGCCCCTGTTGATGGTATTTATTATGAGTTCTTCTAGGTCATAGTCCCCACCGCCAACCTGTACATGACTTGTTTTTTTTGTATGAAATTAAAGCGTATAAAACTGTATATATGTATTATTGTGTAGAATTAAAGTCCTCCTTGCCAAAGGCTTCTGGTTTCCGCTGTGTCCGTTTGGGCCTGTGATAAAATTAAAGGTGGTTACCATTTCTGTTTCTTACCTCAGCGATGCCTCTGCTGGATGACCTGCGTAGCTGTCACACAGGTCTTTGGATGCTTGAGTGAACAAAAGGAAAATGGTGAGTATTGTTTTCTAATTTGAAGTAATTTCTTTAAATCTTTCACATTTTTACTGCAAACTGTCTCTTGGATTCCGTTGGCACTAAAAGCTTTCATCTTAATTGAGATGCATGCGATTCATTCATATCAGATTTTATCATTTGCACATTTTATCACCTGCATTTTCAGATTACTAAAGTCTGATTTTATAGCAAATTATTCTGGGGCACGCTTCTCTGGATCATCAGCCACACTTTAGACTCTATCACTAGACTCAGGGTCTTTTTAAGTGTATTCTTTTTTTAAAATGGGATAATTTTCATCCTGGTTTCCAAGTATCTTAACTGTTTAATAGTTTTAGGCATTTTGCATACACTGATAAAATTAAAAAAAAAAAAATCCCTAATGACAGAGTTTTTTGGCAGCGACTGTCGGATGTTTTTCCTCCACCAGTCCTATCCTGTTAACTAATCTCTCTGTCATTACCCTTCAAAGTCTACGCTCAGCTGTCACCTCCTGAGGAGCAGAAGAAAGCTGAGCACAAGATCTGTTGCAACAGGTGTATAGATGGATCGTCATGTAGACTTCCCCACCTGTCAGTACTTTAATTAGTACCTTTATTAACCTCGCTGTCCCCATTCTTTCTCAAACAACAGCAGACCGAATAGAAACCCTGCTATGCATTAACCCTAAGAGAAAATGATAAAACTGAATCTGTTTGATTGAAACTGTGCTTGACTGACATACAAAGATGTGGGATGTAGGTTTTCTGGTCATTTTCTCACGTTTTCTAACAACCTGAGGAATGTCCAATTCTTTGTGTTAAATGTAAAAACCTTCATATGCAGAATTGAAATAATCTGTATGGTAAAAATGCACTGTTGTAGCATCAAACACAGGTGATTCATAGTGTTGTGGGCAGGCTGAGACTGTCTGAAATTCCACACTAATATAGTATTTAGTATGCTTCAATAATGAGAGTTTTACCCTTAGTATGTGTATATAATTGCAGTGTGTAGCAGTACTTTAAATGCATACTATTTCCAGGTAAATATTAGAGTATGTGGCACTGGATACTACACTGGCGTATAAATCTATAAAAGCAGTGCAGCAGTAACAGGTTTTAAGAGGCACAGCTGGCAGCTCAATCTTTATGGTAAATCTTTATAGTGTTTAAAAATAAGGTGCCAATTTGTTAATGATTGCTTGGTCTCGCACAGGCTGTTGGATAACCATTAACACGTGTTACTCTGTAAGTGACATAAACAGTAGTAAAAATATTGAGTATATAGTGCATGGTTTGGGATTTCAGACAATGTGAATGCTGTTTCTCTCTAGGCCTAAATTTGTCTGAGTTCACTGTGAATGAAGCGAATCTGTGAATGAAATTGAGCCTTCCAGTCAATGAAACTGTCTCGTCTTTGGGTAGAAGTCGTCCTCTGTGCGTCATAAAAGCGTCATCCTCCGCCTTCCGCTTTATCAGCTCCCATCTGTCAGGCTTCCTCTGACCCTGTTGCCAAATAATTTCATCAGCTGCTAAAATTGACAATGAAAATTTTCAACTAAGTGTAGCTTAGTCGTCGTCAGTCCCCTGGATGTAAATTTTTTAAGCATCTGTTTGCATGTGCAGATTTGTTTGCAGCTACTCTGCTGTTAATGAGATAAGCGACTGTTGCGTCCTCAGCTAATCCAATTTGGAGACCTGCAAGGTCATCAGTCAAATCCACATAAGAGCAGAGCGCTGCGGAGCGGAGGTGTCTACAGGTACACAAGCTGAAGTGCTGGCAGCAGAGCATTAAATGGATCCTTTGCTTTACAGCTTTGACAAATGATATCATCAGCCCATTGTGTCTACAGGAGAACGCACAAAGGTCAGTCATTGTTTCTTTAAACCATGTGCAACATGTTTTGTAAAATTGTGACTTTAGGGTGTCTCTTTTTGATGGACACAGACAAAGACTTTTCCAAATAAAGGATGGATAGTATTTTTTTCTTTTTTTAAATTTCAATATAGAGGTATTAAAGTTTTCTCTGCTTGTACTTTTTATTTGCAGATTACAGTCTCCAATAAAAGCCTCACTTCTGCTGCTGAATATTTATCCCAAACAAAGAGTCGCACCTTCATGCTGATATTGCCTTAAATACTCGGAAAAGTCTACCTGATAAATCAAGCGACATCTACAAACGCCGCAAATGGATTCCTTAATGTCACTGGGTGCTCCCCTGAAGCAGTTCACCAGCTGTGTGTCGGGGAAAAGAACTGCCAAGAGGGGCGCCGGGAGGAGCCAGTCTGTCCGCAGAAGCAGCTTCACCCGCAGGAGGAGCTTCAGCAGGAGGAGAAGCGTTCCCTGCAACAGCCAAAAAGTGCCAGACTCCTGGCTCAGAGCTTACCAGGATGAACTGAAGAGGGAAAGGTAAAAAAATAATAAATTAAACAGAAGCATTCATGTGATTGATTGATTGAATTTCAGTTTTTAATGTGGTTTTGCCAGGGTGTGGAGTTTTTCACGATCACTTTTAGCTTTCTTTGCAATACAATAAACAAGAGTTAGAGTTGCTGTTGTATTTTAAGAAAACAATGATTTTCAGTTACTATCTTGTCATCAAGCTAAGACTCTTGGCCAGACAGACCTGGCTTAGTGAGGATAAGACTCTTCCTCACATGAATAAGCTCCTCGCCCATGTGCCACGCTAAATGTTGCTCTTTGCTGTTTGCCAAAGGAAACGTCAGCAAGCCATGCTGGCCAAGAAGAACGCTGAAAGGACTGTCAGGAAAACTCACTTCAGGAGCCATCACTGCCTCCCACGGGTAAGTGAGCAGCTACATTCAAATGCAACTGACTTATCAGCGTGTCATTATCTAACCTGAACACCTGTGCCTGCAGCAGAGCAACGCTTCCGGGAGGAAACCGACCCCGGCCAAGGACGACTCCTTCTTTGGAGCCTTTCAGGGCCTCAGTCTGGATGGATTGATGGGGGCTACTAATGCATCCCCTGCTGTGATGGCACCTGGTGCAGGTGCAGGAGATCAGTGCAAAGTCATGTGAGATGGGACGCGTAAAGACGTTTAGATTTTTTTCAATGAGCCACATGCTTTTGCAGATTTTTCTGCAAATGAGACTGGATAGAGAAAATGAGACTGGCTCTCACCATGTAACCCAGGAGGACGGGAAACATATTTATATTACTCTGTATTTTCTGAAGTATTCTTTTTCCTCTGGCAGACAATGCTGCTTCTTATTTTGATGTTTGTTTTACAAATTATAGACTGTAGCTATCGCCATTGTTTCATGGTGTTTGCTGAGCACAACTGCAAAAAGTTTTAAAACTGAATTATTAAACTTATTTTATTTTCCCACTGTTCATTTTCAGACTCTTTTTTTTCCATTTTGTCCTTAAAAAAAGCCAAAACAGAAACTAAGCAGTTTTTTAAAATTTATTTTCTCCAAAACATAACTTGGGAGTAAAACGGTGAGCTGCTTAAATTTATATTATGAATACACAGAAGACATGCACAGAGACGTAGGTTCTCAACAAGAATGCCTGTTCCAACAACACATTTGTAAATTTGTATCCAGTTGATATTCTACTTATAAAAGGAATCAATGACAGCCAGATAATAAGAAGCATAGATGCCACATAGCTTATAGATATCTGTATCCCATAATCTAGTTATTTCACTTTTTTCTGCAAGTTTTAACAGTTTTGGAGACCACAGTGAAGTAGGCTTGTTAAGACAAAGATTTATTTAAAAAAAACAACAACAAGGAGAACAAGAAAGCAAATGACAGCAAACCATGCTTCCACCCTCTGTCACACGAATGGAAGATGCATAATTTCTTTATTAACCGGGGCAGGTATGATCTCCAGCTCCAGATCATAAATATGTACATTAGAAAAGCCAAGTACAAAACTACAGCTGTCGGGCTCGGGATGTTGTCCTACGACACAATGCTGATGGCTGTGATGATGATTACACAGATGACCGCAGACAACAAGGAGAGGATACACAGAAGTGTTTCTTTCATTTAAACAGTGGATTTAATTGAGTGAAGTCCAGTTTTACATCATTCCCTCTGTTCCATTTTGACTTTAGGGGGCTTTAGGAAGGACCTGTTCTTCTTCTCTTTGCTTTTTCCTTTGGCCTGGAAGTTCCTCCAGCTGTCCACACGTCCATCTCTTGTTTCCTGAAGAAAATAAAAATATTATTTTTCAATTAAGAAATCCAAATGGCACAGTCATCGTGTTTCTATTTACAGATGCGTAACAACTGGCATACAAGAACGCACCTCAAAGTTTTTCTGCCACTCTCGCTGTCGCTTAGCGTTCTCTGCTGCCTCGATTTCTTCTTCTCTCGCCCTTTTCCTGGTAAATTGAGAGAAATCCAGGATGTTATGGATGAAAACAAACTACCAAGTGGTAAAGACGGGTGAATGTTTTAGTCATACAGAGCAGCAACCAAGTTCTTAAAAATCCCACCAATTACCTTTCATGCATTTCCTTTGCTTCCCTCTCCTTCCTCTTGATTTCCAGCTCTGCAAACAGCTTCATGGTCTGTTTGTACACTGCTTGCTTGAACTGGAGAGAAAGAAAAATAAAAAACATGTATGATATGAAGTACAGTAGTTAGCTCTGTTTCCTCATAGCAAGAAGGTCCCAAGTACTAAACCAGGGCTGACACATGTTTGCATGTTAGGTTAGGTTAACTGGCAATTCTGAACTAACTGAATTCAGCTGTTCCCTTTAGCAATCACCACAGTGGATCATTTACCTCTATTCCTATTATCCTCTGTCACATAAAGCCTTCACTACTTCCACAAATCTTTTCTGTGCTCATCCCTCTTTTCTCTTGTCTGGCAACTCTATCTTCAATCCAGTATATTTACTATCCCTCCTCTGCACATGTCCAAACCAACTGAGCCTTGCCTCTCTAATTTTGTCTCCAAACTGCTCAACCCGAGCCGTCCCTCTGATCTACTCGTTTCTAATCCTGTCTATTCTGGTCCTCTGGACGTCTTTTTGTCAGTGCTTTTTCATACATCATAGGAGATCTCACTACCATCTTGAAAGCCTTCCTTTTCATTCTTGTTGCTATCCTTCTGTCACAAATCACCCCCTCTACTCTGCTCTTCACCACTCTGTTACTTTAGATAGTTGATCACAGGTATTTAAACTCATTCACCTTCACTGCCTTTTGGTAACACTGCTGGGCATTTATTCAAAGTACTTTAATTTCAATGGCGTCTGCCACATAAAAACTACAAATCAGATTTAAAAAATAAAGGTTTACAGAGTTTGCCCCAAAATATTGTTTTTTAAAAGCCTCTCCCCCCTATTAAGTTACACTTTGTGGAGGTACAGAAATTATTTTACTGCTACAATATAACCTGCATTATTAACATTGCATTAACAATATATCCTACAGCATTGATATTGCATTAAAGATGTTTATTAAAGCTATTGCAACCATATTAACCTTTTTAGTACAGGCGCAGCTATAATTTTATTATACACATTGCATGTTTGTGCTCATTCAGAGTTGATGCTCAGTCTATTAAAGAAGGTTTTACACAATAGATATGTCTTCACAATCTATTGTGTAGGTGACTTGGAGCACAGAAGGATTGCGTACATGCTTAAAAACACATATAATCCAGAAACCTGCCAGGCCAAAGGCCCGAAATTCATTTAGCTTCTAACTGCATTTCAGTTTGCTTGGTAACAGATGACAGAAGACCAGTCAAGAAAGGACAAGCCCTCAGGGACCATCTAGGCTTGAAATTAATTGCCATGTATGGAAGGTGTTATAGAAAGAGGAACTTCTGTGTCTGTTTTAGTAGGGGTGGGGGAAAAAAATCGCTACTGTGTAGTAGAGATGGACCGATCCGATATTACGTATCGGTATCGGTCCGATACTGACCTAAATTACTGGATCGGATATCGGAGAGAAATAAAAAATGTAATCCGATCCATTAAATATCAAAAAAGCACCTCACAAAACTTGTGACACGGCGTAACTCGG